GATGAATGCAAGCTTGAGAAGAAAAAGCAGTTATTGGAATTTCAAGCTTGCATAAACGAATTGCTAGCTCGTTTGTTACAGCTGAAGAAGCAATAACGCTTTCTTTAGGAGAAGGGAATAAAGCTGGTAAACAAGAGCTTGGAGAAGAAGAAGCGCGAGCATATAGCTGCTGAGGTGCAGGCTGTGATTTCTGCAGAGCTCGTTATTGCTCCTGGAGATTCTTCTTCTGGAGATTTCAACTGGAATTCTGTAGATATGAGAAATGCAGTAGTAGATTAATCGGATTTCCTGGAGAGCAAGATCTCTGAGATCCCTGGATCTCGGTTCGGGGCGGAGCGATTATCTTAGATGCTGGCTTTCCTTTTCCAATATTCAGCTATCTTTTCTTAAGCATTTTTAACGTTTTTCTGTAGTTCTCAAGAATTTTCGCTTGCTAAGTAATCTTTCCATTTAACAAGATATTCTCTTGTATTGTCTATGCTTCTATACTTGAGAATCTTCTCTATTTCATACTCTAGTTCATTATTTTCCACTTCTGCTGTATTGTCTGTTAGTATTTCCTGTGCTGCTAGTTCCAGCAGTAAGATATGGAAAACTGGATATATTCTTATTTTATAAGATAATGCTAATTTGTAGTTAACTGAGAAGATCTGTTATAAGATTTTGAATGATTCTAACTTTTTATAGTTGAGTTTATTGCTGAATCTGATTATTTTGATGTTTTTTCGAAGTAGATAAGCCTTATTTCCCTCCTATAAAATTGATCCCTCAATCCTTTTGAAGTTTGTATATCATACTATTCGTTCCTAAATGAATCATAGTTCTGATCAGAGTTTCTTCTGAACTTTCTTAATCTTCTTAACTCTTTTATTCACAGCTTCTATATCTGCTCCTTACAATACTTCATAATAAGCTATTGGGTTGTATTTGTAGAATATGAAGAATAATAATTTCTTTATTATGCTTGTATCTGCATTATTATAAGCAAACTGTATAAGAAGTAACAGATTAACTCAATTATTCTGTTTCTGATTAATATAATATTGAAGATACTATTTAATAATCTGATTCATTCTTTCTATTTATTCATCTATCTGCAGATAAAATGCTGTAAATATTCTGTAGTATATTCTAAGCTATTTCATGAGTAAAATCCAAAATTTCGAATTGAACTTTCTATCTTTATTGGAGATTACTTCTTCTAGCATGCTATAGTTAGCAATAATCATTCTGAGAAATATATATGCAAGTTCTTCTACTATACTGCTTTTCTTATAAGGAAGAAAGTAAGTATACTTGCTCAGTTTGCAAACTACTACTAGAATGCTATTATATTGTATCTTAGTTAAGAGTTCTTATAAGAAAGATAGCTTAGTAATGAAGTCTAGACTAATGAATTGCTAAATAATCATAGATACTAGTAAGGAATATAGTAGTTTATAAAGCTTGTATCTTTCTGCTTTATTCTTCTTGCAGCTATTGTATTATTGTAGAATATTCTTAATTCTTTTCTTAAGATCTGATAGATTTTAGTATCTTTTAATACATTCATAAATTGCTCTAACTCTCTGATGCCTGTATGCTAATGCACTATATATATTCTTGATATAATTATCTTGTTTATCCGGAGTTATTAATTCTGAATTCTTTTCTGAGAATCCTATTCTGAAAGCAGTATTCAGTTCTCTATATATATTAACGAGATTTTCCAACTCATCTTAAGCGAAGATGTTCTATATATCCGAGAAGTTTGCATCTCAATAATCTAATCTTCTGCTGAAAGCATCTGCTTGTTTATTCTTCAAGCTTTTGCAGTATATAATCTTGAAATCGAATTATAAAAGGAATTCTGCTCATCTGATTTATTACTTATTCAAAATCTTAATTATTATGAATATAATTAGATTCTTATAATTCGAATAAATTATAATCGGATATTATATGCTAATAAGATAATATTGCTACTCTTTAAAGATCTTTATTATTGCTATAAGTTTCTGATTAGAGATTCCGTAGTTAATTTCCAAGCTATTCAACTTTTTTGAGAAGTTGCTTACAATTCTTAAATATTCTTGGTTGTTTTGCTAGCTAAGTTATTCTCTAAGTACATATTCTGATATATCAATCTCAATTTCAAAGGATTTGTAGAAATCTGCTTTATATAGAATTAGCTCTAAGATAATATACTTGATAATCTTATCAAAAGCTTCTTATATCTTAGGAGTTCATTCGAAAGACTGCTCTTTCTTGATAAGATTTGTAAGAGGATATGCAATCCAGCTATAGTTCTTAATGAACTGCTTGTAGAAGTTAACATATTTGAGAAAAGATTTAATATCTCTAATATTCCTAAGAACTAGCTAATTCCTAATAGCTTCTATCTTGTTTTTCTGTAGCTTAATACATTCTGGCTTAATTGTGAATTCAAGATAGTTGATCTTTTGTATATAAAAATAACTTTTTGCAGATTTTATAAGAAGTTTTGCATCTTAAAGCATTTGCAATACTATTTTCACATATTTCTTATATTCTTTCAATATTCGAGAATAAATAAGAATATTATTAAGATAAGCAATAACAAACTAATTCAGATGCTTGTATAAAACATGATTAATCATTTTCTGAAATAAAGCTGAAGCATTTATTAAATCAAAGAGCATAATCAAATATTCGTAATATTCATAGCATATTCTGAAAGCAGTTTTCCATTCTTCTTCTTCTTTTATTCTAATTAGATTATAAGCTTCTTTCAAATCTAGAACTATAAATCATTATACTCCTTGCAGCTTATCTTGTAATTCCTTAATAAGTAGCAATAGATATCAGTTCTTAATTGTAATATTGTTGAGTTGCTTATAATTAATATATAGCTTAAGCTTGCTGTTCTTCTTAGATATGAACAGAATAAGATATTCTGCTAGTAATCGCAATAATTATATATATTTTTTCTTAAGATTCTCATCGAGATACTCTCTAAGTATCTCTAATTATGCTTTATCTAGTTTGTAAATAGGGAAGAATTTGAGCTATTTCCCTTCTTATAACAGAATCTTGTAATTGTATAAGCTATATTCTAGCAATTTTATATTCAATTCTTTCTGGAATAGTTTCTTGAACTTATAATATTCTTATAATATATTTGCAAGTATTAGTTCGGATTCTTATGCTGTTTCTACTATCTGAAAGAACAGTAGGTATTGTTGAGCATGCTTCTTTTCGTTTGTTGCTTTTGATAACATTTTTGAGAGCTTTAAGCATTTGCTTCAAGCTGAACTGAGCGCTTGAGAGCCTGGTTTCGAGGTTTTTTCTGTATAGATTCATAATTCATATTCTGAAGCTTTTCCTTATTGCTTTGGAGCAAATCAACTTGCTAAGAGTCTTGCTTCCATTGTTTTGCTAACCTGTTAGCGCTCTGGCACTGTTTGAGCTTGCTTATTACTAGATTCTTCTCCTTGAACTGCTAGCTCTGCTAGTTTGGAGATATATAGGAAGTTGTATAAAGCTTCTTTTCCTGAATATTCTTTAATTACTAGCTTCAATCCTGCGCTATTAATTATAACTATCTCTCTGAATACAGCTTATTCTTATAAGATCTAGCTAATAGTTCAATTGATTCGAAAATTATGCTTCTTAAGCTATAGAAGCTTTATAATCAGCTTATAATATGCTATATCTGTAATATCAAAAGAAGCTCTAATTATATATTCTTAGATCAAAATAGATAGATAATTAGTCTTCTTATTGATTACTTCTTAATTATATGCAACAGATTATGTCAGGGCCGATTGTGCCAGCAAGGCTCAGAGCCAGCTAAGCCAGCTGGATTACGGATGACTAAGCAATATGCGGCTATAAAGCGGCTTTCTAGCCACGTCAGCACTGCTGAGCAGAACTTAGCTCCTTAGGCCTCAATGTTATTCTGGTTGTATGCTCCTGAAAGAGAGAAAAGACCTCGCTACATTGCCTTTGCAACCTTTCCACCTGACAGTTTGAGGCCTGGCCCTTTTAAAGGAGGCAATCCGGCGAGGCTTTCTATCTTTTTTTTTTCCCTAGGAGCAGCGCTAACACTGAGCAGAAGCAGAGCAAACGATCAGACCACTATCCTTTTCGAACCTTCGAGCCTTTGACCTTCGAGCCTTTGACCTTCGAGCCTTTGACCTTCGAGCCTTTGACCTTCGAGCCTTTGACCTTCGAGCCTTCGATTTTCGAGCTTTCGAGCCTTGAATACAGCGAGCAAGCAGTGTCGAGCAAGCAGTATGCAAGCAGCGTGCGAGAAGCGTTCAGAAGAGATTCAGAGCATTCGAGTCGCTAAGCTAGAGCATACAGCGAGCAAGCAGTGTTGAGCAAGCACGAGCAAGCAATATGCAAGCAGCGTGCGAGAAGCGTTCAGAAGAGATTCAGAGCATTCGAGTCGCTAAGCTAGAGCATACAGCGAGCAAGCAGTGTCGAGCAAGCAGTATGCAAGCAGCGTGCGAGAAGCGTTCAGAAGAGATTCAGAGCATTCGAGTCGCTAAGCTAGAGCATACAGCGAGCAAGCGGTATTGAGCAAGCAGTATGCAAGCAGCGTGCGAGAAGCGTTCAGAAGAGATTCAGAGCATTCGAGTCGCTAAGCTAGAGCATACAGCGAGCAAGCAGTGTTGAGCAAGCAGTATGCAAGCAGCGTGCGAGAAGCGTTCAGAAGAGATTCAGAGCATTCGAGTTGCTAAGCTAGAGCAAACAGCGAGCAAGCAGTATGCAAGCAGCGTGCAAGAAGCATTCAGAAGAGATTCAGAGCATTCGAATCGCTAAGCTAGAGCAAACAGCGAGCAAGCAGTATGCAAGCAGCGTGCGAGAAGCGTTCAGAAGAGATTCAGAGCATTCGAGTTGCTAAGCTAGAGCATATAGCGAGCAAGCAGTGTTGAGCAAGCAGTATGCAAGCAGCGTGCGAGAAGCGTTCAGAAGAGATTCAGAGCATTCGAGTCGCTAAGCTAGAGCATACAGCGAGCAAGCAGTGTTGAGCAAGCAGTATGCAAGCAGCATGCGAGAAGCATTCAGAAGAGATTCAGAGCATTCGAGTTGCTAAGCTAGAGCAAACAGCAAGCAAGCAGTATGCAAGCAGCGTGTGAGAAGCGTTCAGAAGAGATTCAGAGCATTCGAGTCGCTAAGCTAGAGCAAACAGCGAGCAAGCAGTATGCAAGCAGCATGCAAGAAGCGTTCAGAAGAGATTCAGAGCATTCGAGTTGCTAAGCTAAAGCAAACAGCGAGCAAGCAGTATGCAAGCAGCGTGCGAGAAGCGTTCAGAAGAGATTCAGAGCATTTGAGTTGCTAAGCTAGAGCAAACAGCGAGCAAGCAGTATGTAAGCAGTATGCGAGAAGCGTTCAGAAGAGATTTAGAGCATTCGAGTTGCTAAGCTAGAGCAAATAGCGAGCAAGCAGTATGTAAGCAGCATGCGAGAAGTGTTCAGAAGAGATTCAGAGCATTCGAGTCGCTAAGCTAGAGCAAATAGCGAGCAAGCAGTGTGCAAGCAGCATGCGAGAAGCGTTCAGAAGAGATTTAGAGCATTCGAGTTGCTAAGCTAGAGCAAATAGCGAGCAAGCAGTGTGCAAGCAGCGTGCGAGAAGCGTTCAGAAGAGATTCAGAGCATTCGAGTTGCTAAGCTAGAACAAAGTGTGTTCTTCGCTATTCGAGCGAGAGAGCAGAGTGAGCAAGCAGTAGATCTGAGTATCTTCTGTTTTCGAGAGTGTGTTCTTCGCTATTCGAGCGAGAGAGCAGAGTGAGCAAGCAGTAGATCTGAGTATCTTCTGTTTTCGAGAGTGTGTTCTTCGCTATTCGAGCGAGAGAGCAGAGTGAGCAAGCAGTAGATCTGAGTATCTTCTGTTTTCGAGAGTGTGTTCTTTGCTATTTGAGCGAGAGAGCAGAGTAAGCAAGCAGTAGATCTGAGTATCTTCTGTTTTCGAGAGTGTGCTCTTTGCTATTTGAGCGAGAGCATAGAGCTGAAGCGGAGTATCCGCTTGGCAACTGAAGTTGCTTGGGTATTAGGTTGCGAATTAATTATTCTTCTGCGCCTAGCGGTGGAGCGAAGCGTGGCAATAGCTTCAGAGTTGCTAGAGAGCAACTCTTAAGATGGAAAGCTGTAATTATCTGTTATAGCTGCAGGGATGCTGTTCTGGATGCTGGGCTTCTTGGCTGCAAACCAAGTCTCTGGTGGAAGGCTTGCAATCTACATCAAACAGCTTTAAGTTCTGAAGAGTGCCTGGATAAAGCGCTGAGGGAGCAGCGACTGAGCAGCGTATATGGCGCGGGTATTGCACTCGGAAGACTTACGTCTGGAATGTGATTAAAAAGAGATTTTTTTTTCACAGGCTTCGGGGATGAAGCCAGAAGAGAAGGAGGGAGATGGTTGAGAGGCCTTGAGAAGCCTTGAGAGGCCTGAGGCACTGAGAGATCTTGAGAGACCTTGAGTGGCTTAGAAGCCTGAGGCACTGAGAGATCTTGAGAGGCCTTGAGAGGCCTGAGGCACTGAGAGACCTTGAGAGGCCTTGAGAGGCCTGAGGCACTGAGAGATCTTGAGAGACCTTGAGTGGCCTAGAAGCCTGAGGCACTGAGAGATCTTGAGGGACCTTGAGTGGCTTAGAAGCCTGAGGCACTGAGAGATCTTGAGAGACCTTGAGTGGCCTAGAAGCCTGAGGCACTGAGAGATCTTGAGAGGCCTTGAGAAGCCTGAGGCACTGAGAGACCTTGAGAGGCCTTGAGAGGCCTGAGGCACTGAGAGACCTTGAGAGGCCTTGAGAGGCCTGAAGCACTGAGAGATCTTGAGAAGCTTTGAGAAACCTGAAGCACTGAGAGATCTTGAGAGGCCTGAGGCACTGAGAGACCTTGAGAGACCTTGAGTGGCCTAGAAACCTGAGGCACTGAGAGATCTTGAGAAGCCTTGAGAGGCCTGAGGCACTGAGAGGCCTTGAGAGGCCTTGAGAGGCCTGAAGCACTGAGAGATCTTGAGAAGCCTTGAGAGGCCTGAGGCACTGAGGGACCTTGAGAGGCCTTGAGAGGCCTGAGGCACTGAGAGACCTTGAGAGGCCTTGAGAGGCCTGAAGCACTGAGAGATCTTGAGAGGCTTTGAGAAACCTGAGGCACTGAGGGATCTTGAGAAGCTTTGAGAAGCCTGAAGCACTGAGAGATCTTAAGAGCCTGAAGCATTGAGAAGGCGTAGGAGCAGCTAGGAAGCAGCGAAAGCCTGGAAGCAACGGAAGCCTGGGAGCAACGGAAGCCTGGAAGCAACGAAAGCTTGAAAGCCTCAAAGGCCTTGAGGACAAGGCCTGATAAGGGGGGACAATCTGTCAGGGCCGATTGTGCCAGCAAGGCTCAGAGCCAGCTAAGCCAGCTGGATTACGGATGACTAAGCAATATGCGGCTATAAAGCGGCTTTCTAGCCACGTCAGCACTGCTGAGCAGAACTTAGCTCCTTAGGCCTCAATGTTATTCTGGTTGTATGCCCCTGAAAGAGAGAAAAGACCTCGCCACATTGCCTTTGCAACCTTTCCACCTGACAGATTATTCTTTTATAGTGCTGAGAATATATAAGCATTTCTTTCATTTCCATTGTAGTTATGCTTGATTAACAATATATGAGAATATAAAGTTTCCCTAAGCGCTACTATTCAATAGTATGCTGCACTTATATTCTTGAATATATATATTGAACTTGATATAAGCATAATTTGTTTTGAAAGCTCTATATAGAAATCATTCTAATCTAATCATCTACAGTTCCTTTACAAGCAATCCTATTCTTTTGAGTTTATCGAGAACTGCTTATTCTTCTAAGCCTGTTTTACTGCTTCTTAAGCAAGCTTCTTAGCTTGCTTTTGCTTATATCATCATTATTCCTAATCTTTCTTTTATTAATGCTAATCGCAAATCTTATCATTAATATAAATCATATAGAATATCATTTCGCACTGCTACCATTTTATTTTCTTATTCATGCATTGCATAAAGCAATTATTCAGTAGCTCGATATATATATTATAATATTGCTTATTAAAAACCTCTCTGAAGCAGAGTTTCTATTCTTCAACAATCTGAAGAATTTGTTCTAATTCTCTAATAGAGAACTATTTGTATTGCATCTTGTTTAAGAAATGCGTTCTGCAGCTATAATAGATACAGGAGATTCAAGCTAGTTTGTAATATAGATTATAAAGTAGATCAATCCGAGGATCTTCATCTTGTTATGCTTCAATATCTTGCAAGGAAATACAGATAAAGAGCTTCTCTAACCCTATTCTATAAACAAGATATTCAACTTATATTGTTTCCTTGTTTTACTCAATACTGAAGGAAAACCTTTCTATAAATTTCTTGAATTTATTATTTATAGGAAACTCTGATAAACTGTTGAATTGCTTATTCTAGCTTAATCTTTCTATTGCTTAAGAAGCATTTTCAGTATCATTTAGATATTTATATCAATAACCAAGAGAATACCATTCTTTGTTCATTTCTCTAGTTATAGTATCTGATGCAGATGATGGAGAATAGCGAAGAGCACCGTTATTAAGCTCTTCCTCCAGCGCTTGAATACTTTATTTAATAATATCGGAGCAATCCGAGTTGTTACTGCTTGTAGTTGTGCTAAGCATATACTCTCGCTCTGCTATCGCTATCTATTTGTAGCGCTTAGATTTCTGAGGAAACTATTCTAAATCTTCCTTACTCAAGAGATATATTAAGCAGTTATTATCATAGCAGAATATTCAGCTAAGACTTCCATGATTAATAGAATCTAATACTTGCTTCAAGAGAATATTTTTGCTTAGTTGATTGAGTTTCTATTGTTAAGCAATATTTATCTAGCATTCTTTCTGAATCAGTTGCTATTTATTTTTCTAAGATTAATAATAATTATATATAATATATTCTTATTTATTGCAGTTGTAGCAAGTAATGCTATTTCTCTTGCTATACTGTCTATTAGCAGTATCGAGTTTTATAGAACTAGTATGCATAGTACTGCTCTAAGCTATACTGCTATATCAACTGCTATTCTTATTTTGGAATTTCTTGCTTATATTAGCTAGAAACCTTCAAATCTAGCTTCCTTCCTTCTTAAACTTCTCTACTCATTATTCATACAAACAATTATTAATACAGATAGCTTGATTGAAGAATATTATAAAGTTCTCCAGCTAATTCTGCTTGAAGATTTCATCTTTAATATCATCCTTGAATCTCTTATAGTAATACTTCATAAGATTCTTATCTTCTTACAGAAATTGTACTAAGAATTGCTTAAATCTAACTATATAAGCAGAAGCTAACTTGGTTTGCTTGAGATTCATGAGCTGCTGAGCTATAATGTATTCTTCGTTGAAATTACCAAAGATTTCCTTGAAAGCTTTCTTGAAGCTCTTAAAGGAATCGAATATATTCTTAGTACTCTGGATACGTATGCTGGAATCGCTCTGATACTCCAAGTAATTATACAGAGAAGATTTGTATCAGATAAGAGTATCTTTCTCGAAATGAATCCCTGCAAGAATAATCTTTTCAGACTCTATAGTAAACTGAGTTATATAGTACAAGAAATATGCTCTGCAGTAAGTAAGGAATTCATGCAGTATTTTCTGATTGCTATTATATATAGCAAGCTTATTCATCTTATACACCTTTCCAGCGCTGCTAATAATCGCAGAAGTAAACTGTGCCTGCTGAGCCTGTTAAGCTAGCTAAGCTTATTAGTTAGCAATAATAGCGCTCTAAGCCTGCTATTATTCATACAGATCCTAAATACGCTGAATAAGCTAATATACTTAATTAATCAGTTCTTCCTGAATAGAAGCATGCAAGAACGAAGAGATTCCTGAAGAAGCTATCGTATTCCATATTGCTCAAAGAGATAATACTGAACTATTCTTAAACAAGAGTTATCAAAATATAATAAGCACTGTAGCAATCCGAAGATTCCTAAGTATACGAAGGGGTTTATGCTAATAAGAGCGGTATCAAAGTATTAAGTTCTTGAATACGGAACTGTACAAGTCCTAATAAGCAATGCAAGTATTTACTGCCTTTGGGGCTACTCAGTATATAAAACTGAATACTTAGATTGATAACTGAAGAGCTATGTACAATGATCTGTCTAATGGTAAGGAATGTGTGATTATATATCCAGCTCTTCAGTGTGGCTTGCTGATGCTTACTAAGGCTTACTGCTGCTCAGTGGTGCTCACTAAGGCTCACTGCTGCTCAGTGGTGCTCACTAAGGCTTGGTGAGCACAGATGAGCTCTTCTGATTAGTTGGCTTGTAATCCTAACCCTGGATTATGTAATCTTTGTGGGTTGTCTGATGTTGAGTTATAACACCTGGTCCTTGTTTGCTTGTGACCTGTTTTCGTAACCTGCATGTTGGATGGGTCATAATAATAAGCTTTACAAACTACTGCATTCTCTACTAATACTTATAACTATTTAGCAATTTATCAATCTAAACTTCATTATTAAGCTATCTTTCTTATAAGAATTCTTAATTAAGATGCAATATAATAGCATTCTAATAATAATTTGCAAATTAAGCAAGTATGCTTATTTTCTCTTCTATAAGAAAAGCAGTATAGCAGAAGAACTTGTATATGCATTTCTTAGAATAATTATTGCTAATTACAGTATACTAGAAGAAGTAATCTCTAATAGAAATAGAAAGTTTAATTTAAAGTTTTGAACTTTATTTATAAAATAGCTTGGAATATATTATAGAATATCTATAGTATTTTATTTGCAAATAAATAAACAAATAAAAAGAATGAATCAGATTATTGAATAATATCTTTAATATTATATCAATTAGAAATAGAATAATTAGATTAATCTATTATCTCTTGCACAGTTTGCTTATAATAGTGCAGATATAAGCATAATAAAGAAATTATTATTCTTTATACTTTATAAATATAATCTAATAGTTTATTACGAAGTATTATTAGAAGCAGATATAAAAGCTGCAAATAAAAGAATTAAGAAGATTAAGAAAGTTCAGAAGAAATTCCAATCAGAATTATAATTTGTTCAAGAATAAATAATATAGTATATAAACTCTAAAAGGATTGGAAAACTAATCCTATAGAAGGAATGTTATAACCCATCCAATATGCAGGTTACCAGCCAGAACACCCGGAACAACTGTTCGGAAAGACAGGGAAGGATTCAACATTACAAGAACTAAAGCTTACATAAGCAAGGGTTAGGATTACAGGATCAGAAGAGATCAGTAGCTGATCCATGGTGATCCGGATCAGTTGGATTATTCAGATGATCCAAGGAATCCAACAATCAATACTACTAACAGAACTGAAGAGCTGAATATATAAGAGCATGTTTATTTCTATTAGATAGATCTTGTATATAGCTTTTCAGTTATTAATCTAAGTATTCAGTTTTATATACTGAGTAGCTCTAAAAGCAGTGAATATCTGCATTGCTTATTAAGATTTATACGATTTTGTATTCAAGAACTTGATATTTTAATACTGCTCTTATTAGCATAAATTTCTTTATATATTTAGAAATCTTCGGATTGCTATAATGCTTATTATATTTTAATAATTCTTATTTAAGAATAGTTTAGTATTATTCTTTTAAGCAATATGAAATATAATAGCTTCTTTAGAAATCTCTTTATTCTTATGCGCTTCTACTCAGAAAGAACTAATTAATTAGATATACTAGCTTATTCAGTATATTCAGAATCTGTGCAAATAATAGCAAGCTCAGAGCGCTATTATTGCTAATCAGCAAGCTTAGCTAGCTTAACAAGCTTAATAAGCGCAGTTCATCTCTGTAGTTACTAGTAATGCTAAGAAGATATATAAGATGAACAAGCTTGCTATATATAATAGCAATTAAAAAACGCTGCATAGATTTCTTATTCACTATAAAGCATACTTTTTGCATTATATAATCCAGTTTACCATAGAATCTAAGAAGATTATTCTTGCAGGAACTTATTTCGAAAAAAATGCTCTCATTTGATACAAGCTTTCTTTATGCAACTACTTGGAGCATCAGAACAATTCCAATATACATATCCAGAATACTAAGAATATATTTGATTCTTTTAAAAGCTTTAAGAAAGCTCTTAAGAAAATCTTTAATAATTTTAATAAAGAATGTATTACAGCTTAGCAGCTTATGAATCTCAAATAGACTAAGTTAGCTTTTGCTTATATAATTAGATTTAAGCAACTCTTAGCAAGATTTTTATAAGAAAATAAGAATCTTATAGAATATTATTATAAAGAATTTAAGAATAATATTAAAGATAAAATCTTTAAGCAGAATTAGCTAAAGAACTTTGCAATATTTTCTAATTAAGCTATTCATATTAATAATTATCTATATAAATAATGAATAGAAAAGTTTAAAAAGAAAGAAAGCTAAACTTAAAGATTTCTAGCTAATATAAGCAAGAAACTCTAAAACAAGAATAGCAGTTAATATAGCAATATAGCTTAGAATAGTACTATATATGCTAATTCTATAAAACTCAATGCTACTAACAAGCAGTATAATAAAAGAAATAGCATTATTTGCTATAATTACAACAAATAAGAATATATTATATGCAATTGCTATCAATTCCGAAAGAATAAATAGCAATCAGTTCAGAAAGAATGCTAGATGAATATTGCTTAACAATAGAAATCCAATTAACTAAGCAAAAATACTCTCTTAAAGCAAGTATTAGACTCTGTTGATTACAGAAGTTTTAGCTGAACATTCTGCTACAATAATAACTGCTTAATACATCTCTCGAGTAAGAAAGGTTTAGAATGATTCCCTCAGAAACCTAGATGCTACAGGTAGATAGCAATAGCAGAGCAAGAGTATATGCTCAGTATAATTACAAGCAGTAATAACTCGGATTGCTCTGATATTACTGAATGAAGTATTCAGATGCTGGAGGAAGAGCTTAATAATAATGCTCTTCATTATTTCCTATCACTTATACTAGATATTATAACTAGAGAAATGAATAAAGAATAGTACTTTCTTGATTATTAGTATAAATATCTAAATAATACTGAAAATGCTTTTTAAGCAATAGAAAGATTAAGTTAGAACAAATAATCTAGTAATTTACCGAAGTTTCCTGTAAATAATAAATCTAAGAAGCTTATAGAAAAATTCTCCTTTAGTATTAAATGGAATAAGAAAATAATATAGATTGAATATCTTATTTATAAGATAGAATTAGAGAAGCTTTTTATCTGCATTCCCTTGCAAGATATCAAAGTATAATAAAACAAAGATTCTCGGATTAGTTCACTTTACAATCTATATTACAAACTAGCATAAATCTTCTATATCTATCATAGCTGCAGAATATATTTCTCAAACAAGATACAATACAAATAGTTCTCTATCAGAAAACTAGAACAAATTCTTTAAGCTATTGAAGAATAGGAACTCCGCTTCAGAGAGATTCTTAACAAGCAATATTACAATACATATATTAAGCTACTAGATAATTGCTCTATACAATGCATAAATAAAAAGATAGAATAATAGCAGTATAAAATAATATTCTGCATAATTTATATTAATAACAAAGTTTGCAACTAGCATTAATAAAAGAAAGACTAGGAATAATAATGATATGAATAAAAATAAGCTAAGAAGCTTGCTTGAGAAGCAGCAAAGCAAGCTTAGAAGAATAAGTAGCTTTTAACAAACTTAAAAGAATAGAATTGTTTATAAAGAAACTGCAGATAATTAAATCAGAATAATTCCTATATAAAGCTTCTAAAACAGATTATGCTTATATTAAGTTTAATATATATATTTAAGAATATAAGTATAGCATATTATTGAATAATAGCATTTAAAGAAACTTTATATTCTTATATATCATCAATCAAGCATAACTACAATAAAGATAAAAGAGATACTTATATATTCTCAGCACTATAAAAGAATAATCTATTGCATACAACTAAGAAGTAATTAATAAGAAAACTAATTATTTACTTATCTTAATCTAAAAATGCATAATCAGAGCTTCCTTTGATATTACGGATACAGTATAGCATAAGCTAATTATAAAGCTTTTATAGCTTAAAAAGCACAATTCTCGAATCAATTAAACTACTAGCTAGATCTTATAAGAACAAGCTATATCTAGAGAGATAGTTACAATCAATAATGCAGAATTGAAGCTAGTGATTGAAGAATATTCAGAAAAAGAAGCTTCATACAACTTCCTATATACTTTTAAACTAGCAGAGCTAGCAGTTCAAAGAGAAGAATCTAGTAATAAGCAAACTCAAATAATGCTAGAGTATTAATAGATTAATAAAATAATGAAAGCAAGATTCTCAGCAAGTTGATCTGCTCCGGAGTAATAAGAATAAGCTTTAGAATATGAATTATAGAATTATACAAGAAAAATCTCGAAACTAAACTCTTAAGCACTCAGTTCAGCTTGGAATAAATGCTTAAAGCTCTCAAAAACGCTATTAGAAAAGAAGCATGCTTAATAATATCTACTATTCCTTCAGATAGCAGAAATAATACAAGAATTAGAACTAATACTTGCAAATATATTATAAGAATATTACAAGTTTAAGAAACTATTCTAGAAAGAATTGGATATGAGATTGCTAGAATACAGCTTATATAATTATAAGATTCTGCTATAAGAAGAAAAATAGCTTAAATTCTTTTCTATTTACAGACTAAATAAAATATAGCTAGAAGCACTTAGAGAGTATCTCAATGAAAATCTTAAAAAAGAATATATATAATCATTGTAATTATTAGCAGAATACTCTATTCTATTTATATCTAAGAAAAACAGCAAGCTTAAGCTATATATTGATTATAAGTAACTCAATAATATCACAATTAAGAACTGATACTCATTGCTATTTATTAAGAAATTATAAAATAGATTGCAAGAAGTATAGTGATTTATAGTTCTGAATCTGAAAGAAGCTTATAATCTGATTAGAATAAAGAAAGAAGAAGAATGAAAAACTGCTTTCAGAATATGCTATAAATACTACGAATATTTGATTATGCTCTTTAATTTAATGAATACTCTAGCTTTATTTTAGAAAATAATTAATTATATTCTATATAAGCATCTGAATTAGTTTATTATTGCTTATCTCAATAACATTCTTATTTACTCTTGAATACTTGAAGAATATAAGAAATATATGAAAACAGTATTGCAAACGCTTCAAGATGCAAAACTTCTTATAAAATCTGCAAAGAGTTATTTTCATATACAAAAGATTGATTATCTCGGATTCATAATCAAGCTAGAATATATTAAGCTACAGAAAGATAAAGTAGAAGCTATTAGAAATTAGCTAGTTTTCAGGAATATTAGGAATATTAAGTCTTTTCTCAGATATATCAACTTCTATAAGCAGTTTATTAAGAACTATAGCTGAATTATACATTCTTTTACAAATCTCATCAAGAAGGAATAGCTTTTCGAATAAATCTTCAAAGTACAAAAAGCTTTCGATAAGATCATCAAGCATATTACCTCAGAACTAATTCTATATAAAGCAGATTCCTACAAATCTTTTAAAGTTGAAATCGATGTATTGGAATATGCATTCAGAGAATAACTTAGCTAGCAAGATAATCAAGAATATCTAAGAATTATAAGCAACTTTTTAAAGAAGTTGAATAGCTTGGAAATTAACTACAGAATCTCTAATTAGAAACTTATAGCAATAGTAAAAGCCTTTAAGAAGTAGCAATATTATCTTATTAGTATACAATATCTGATTATAATTTACTTGAATTATAAGAATCTGATTATATTTATAACAACTAAGATTTTGAATAAGCAATAAGTTAGATAAGCAGAATTTCTTTTACAATTCAATTTTAAAATTATATACTGCAAAAGCTTGAAGAATAGATAAGCAAATGCTCTTAGCAGAAGATTAGACTATTAAGATGCAAATTCTTCAGATATATAGAACATCTTTGCTTAAGATGAATCAGGAAATCTTATTAATGCATATAGAGAATTGAATGCTATTCTTAGAATAAAACTCTTAGAAAAGAATCTAGAATCAATGATTTCAGATAAATAAAATAATTATATTAAGAATATATATAGTATATTAGCATATGAATATCAGAGAGTTAGAGCAATTTATAAATGCATTAAAAGATATTAAAATCTATTAGATTTTAGAAAAAAAATTGAAAGCATTTTATAACAATGCAACAACTGCAAGAAGAATAAAGTAGAAAGATATAAGCTTTATAAACTACTGCATTCCTTATTAGTATTTATAACTATTTAGCAATTTATTAGTTTAAACTTCATTATTAAGCTACTTCTCTTACAAGAATTCTTAACTAAAGTGTAATATAATAGCATTCTAATAATAGTTTGCAAACTAAGCAAATATACTTATTTTCTTCTTTATAAGAAAAGCAGTATAGCAGAGGAACTCGTATATGCATTTCTCAGAATGATTATTGCTAATCATAGCATATTAGAAGAAGTAATTTCCAATAGAAACAGAAAGTTTAATTTAAAGTTTTAAACTTTGCTTATAAAATAGCTCGGAATATACTATAGAATATTTATAGCATTTCATCTGCAGATAAATGAATAAATAGAAAGAATAAATTAGATTATTAAATAGTATTTTCAATACTATATTAATCAGAAATAGAATAACTAGATTAATCTATTGCTTCTTATATAGTTCGCTTATAATAGCGCAGATATAAGCATAATAAAGAAATTACTATTCTTCATATTCTATAAATACAATCTAATAGCTTATTACAAAGCATTGCTAGAAGCAGATGCAGAAGCTGCAGATAAAAGGATTAAGAAGATTAAGAAAGTTTAGAAAGAATTCTAATTAGAATTACAATTTGTTTAAGAACGAATAATGCAGTATGCAAACTTCAAAAGGATTGAGAGATTAATCCTACAGAAGGGAGATAAGATCTATTTACTTTGGAAAAATATTAAAATAATCAGATTCAGCAACAAACTTGATTATAAGAAGTTAGAATTCTTTAAAATCTTATAATAAATCTTCTCAGTTAATTATGAATTAGCATTATTTTATGAGATAAGAATATACTCAGTTTTTCATATCTTACTACTGAAATCAGTAGCACAGGAAATATTAATAAACAATATAGCAGAAGTGAAAAACAATGAATCAGAATATGAAATAGAGAAGATTCTCAAGTATAAAAGCATAGATAATACAAGAGAATATCTTATCAAATAAAAAGGTTACTCAGCAAGTGAAAATTCATGGAAATCATGGGAGAACGTTGAAAATGCTTAAGAAAAAGTAGCTGAGTATTGGAAAAGAAAGGAAACTAGTATCTAAGACAATCGCTCCGCCCCGAACCGAAACTCAGAAGCTTCAGAAACCTCACTCTCCAGAAGGGAAAGCTAACCAGATATGCTAGGATTAAGAGCTAAGAAATTCTAGTTGATAATCTCAAGATGTTTCTGAGATATTAGACAAGTTTTCTCTTTATGAAGACTGCAATTCTCCTTATCAGCGAATCCCTTTAAGAAATTGAAACTATAACAAATCATTTCTGCAATACATTTCTCCAACAGCCTTCGCTGTTTCTATGCATAATTAAGACAAGCTTGCAATGCTAGCAAAGCTTGTAGAGCAGCAGCATTTGCTAACTCTGCCTCAGCTTTTTCACTTAAAACCTTGCACTTTTTACGAATCAAATGCCCTGCTGAAAAAGAAAATCAGTAACTACAAAGAATACTAAGAAACGAAGAAACTAATTAGCAGAAGCTGAAAAACAATCAGTATCACAGCTTTAATTCAGAGAAATATACATCTCATAATGAGAAGAGTTTTCAGCGAAACAACAGAAAGCTTCCATTTTCTAATAATGAGTACAAGCAAGCATTTCGATATCGAAAGCAGAAATAAGCTCAGCAAAACAATAATGCTCTTGAGTTTTTACTGAATAATTAGAATGCAATTTATTAATTCTGTTCGATATCTTGATTAGAAAGGCATAATTATGTATGCAAATAACTTGCTAGAATACTTACAGAAGATTATTAGAAATAATAATTGATAGAAGGAAGATGATGTTATAATTCATCTAATATGCAGATTACTAGCTAGAATACTTGAAACAACTATTCAGAAAGATAGAAAAGAATTTAATATTATAAGAACTAAAGCTTATATAAGCAAGAGTTAGAATTATAGAATCAGGAGAGATTAGTAGCTAATCTATGATAATCCGAATTAGTTGAATTATCTAGATAATTCAAGGAATCCAATAACCAATACTACTAACAGAATTAAAGAGCTGAATATATAAAAGCATGTTTATTCCTATTAGATAGATCTCATACATAGCTCTTCAGTTATCAATCTAAGTATTCAGTTTCATATACTGAGTAGCCCCAAAGGCAGTGAACATCTGCATTGCTTATTAAGACTTGTACGATTCCGTATTCAAGAACTTAACACTTTGATACCGCTCTTGTTAGCATAAACCCCTTCGTATACTTAGGAATCTTCGGATTGCTGCAGTGCTCATTACAAGGAAGATAAAGTTTATCTATTTCGGAAAAATATTAAAATAATCAAGCTTAGCAATAAACTTAATTACAAAAAACTGGAATTCTTCAAAATCTTGCAACAAATCTTCTCAATTAACTATAAGTTAGCATTACCTTATAAAATAAGAATATACTCAGTTTTTCACATCTTACTACTGGAACTAGCAGCATAGAAAATACTAACAAATAATATAGCAGAAATAGAAAATAATAAATCAGAATATAAGATAGAAAAGATTCTTAAGCATAGAAATATAGATAATACAAGAGAATATCTTATTAAATAAAAAGATTACTTAGCAAGCAAAAATTCTTGGAAACTGCAGAAAAACATTAAAAATGCTTAGGAAAAAATAACTAAATATTGGAAAAGAAAAACTAGCACCTAAAATGATTGCTCCATTTCAAACTGAAATCTAGAGCTCTCAGAGATCTTATTCTCCAGGAAATCCGATCAGTTAATTACAGAATTCCTCAGATCTACAGAATTCCAATCAAAACTCTCAAAAGAAGAATCTTCAGCTACAATAGCAGATTCCTTAGCTACTACAGCCTGCATTTCAGCAGTAATACATATTCTCTCAGCTTCAGCTTCCTCAACCTTCTCTTTCTCAAGCTCTTCAAGATTCTTAAAATCTCAATAAATAGCTTAAGATATCCTCTTATATTATATCTTTTTTTATTAATGCAATTAAAGCAACTTTAATTCCAACTCTTCTATTTCATTCTTTAGCTTTCAATGCTAAGTAGAGATAAGAAGAAGTTCAGCAGCATTTATCAGCTTCAGAACATCGCACTTAGCGCAATTCTGGAAAATGCATTCCAAGTAATAGAATGAATTATAAGAAAAAGCAATATACAATTATAAGCCTTAACTATTGCAATAAGAATAGAAATGTATATCGAAACTATTTGAAAGAATAAACTGAAGAAGAAGATCTTTCTATTTCTTTTTGTTAGAGTAAGAATTCGAGAATTTTAGTTTTGCAATTTTATTAATTCTATTCAGCATCTCAATTAGAAAAGCAAAATTATAAATACAGAAACTTGCTAGAATACTTACAGAAGATTATTAGAAATAATAACTAATAGAAGAGAAATAATATTATAATCCATCCAATATGCAGATTATAAAAACAAATTATAAGTAATAAGAATTAGATATCAAGAATCTAATATTCTAATAAAGCATTAATTATATAATTCAGAATTAGAGTTATAAAGAAGGGAGAATTGTTAGGCTTGCTAGCAATTTCAACAAGCTTTACATCTTGAATTGCTAAACTTGCTAGCAATCCCAACGAGCTGTACTGCAGAGCTGGATATATAAGAATATATTTATTATCATTAGATGAATTCAGTATATAGCTTTTCAGTTATTAATCTAAGTATTCAGTTTTATATACTGAGTAGCTTCAAAGGCAGTGAATACTTGCATCGCTTATTAAGACTTGTATGGTTCCGTATTCAAGGACTTAATACTTCAACACTGCTCTTGTTAGCATAAACCCCCTTTGTGTACTTTGGAATCTTCGGATTGCTGCAGTGCTCATTACAGAGTTAAGGATCTTCATACATATAAAGAATATCACTCACTTTTCAAATTCTTTAGCTATAGGAAACAAAAAAAGCATCCTTTCTCTTCTTTTCAATTTTGAATTCTTTGAACAGATCTAAGACAGATTTTTCACTCTGTTCTTATGCTTATATAGCTTTAGTTTGCTATTCTCATTTGTATAGGCATGCTTGAATTGTATGAGCTCTTGCTTATTGCTTTAATAGCTATTTATTTCTTTTTCTTTCGAGAGCAATAGCGCTCTAGTTCTAGTTTAATAATGCAGTGAGTATGAACTTAGCTATTCAAACTAATAGCTTAAAGCTGTTTATATTATAGTTTATAAGGATTAGTAAGAGCAGTAAGTTTATTTTATGAATAAATGCATTCTTTTTCTCTATTAAGCTCTTTTATTTTCTTTATTTATTATGCTTATATAATAAGCTATATATTATATCTGAACTTTAAATTATACTTGAGATTTCTTATAGAAAGAAGATAAGTAAATAGAGAAGAAGTAGTATAAATTCTGATTATAAGCTAATGAATAATATATTAAGCTTATAAACTAATATTATGAAGAAATAAATTCCTTTTTCTAATATTTTCTATATTAATTAATAATTCTATATAGAAGCTGATATAGCTTAAATTTATATAAGCTGCAGCGGAAAGTTTAATTATATTGAATATAGATTTATAATTAAATTATAAAATAAAATGCTTTTAATAAATAGTATTCTGTAAAGAAAAGTAATATAATTAATAAGATTTATGCTTCTTATAATAATTTAATTAGCATGCTTTATCTGAATATATCTAGCTATATTAATCCTTTGAATCAAAAGCTTGCTAATTATATTATCTCAAAAGCAAAGAATATAGAAAAATGAAAATAAGAAATTATTAGTATATATAAGAAATAGAAATTGAGAATTATAATAATATTATTTAATATTAAACTTTAATTAATACTTTATATCTAATTAGAAATACTTCTATTAGTTAGCAGAATTATTAATAAAGAAAATTTCAATATAATATAGAATAGCTAATTCAATTTCTTATTATTTATTATAAGATAGATTTTATATATACTCTATTTACAAACTGAATCTTTTTTAAGTATTTAAATTCTCTTAATCTTTATAGTATTATTTTTTATAGAATATAGAAAGTATTTCAGCTGTAGCGCTCTCAATTTAAGAATCTCGAATTAGAAAGATAAAGAAATATTGAAGGAAGCAATAATTAAGAAGCAAGATAGCTTTTATATCTGAAAACTTTTCCAATTAGATATTCAGTTCAGCTAACTACTTAGCTAATAATCACTATAATCAGAACTTCAGATTCTCTTTTTATAGTAAGCTTGCTAATAATAAATTAATGTTATTTGCTTATATAAAAATCTCTTTATAGCTGAAGCAATTTGATTAATAGCATTAGATTAAAGGAATTAATAATATTCAAGTATTCAACTTTATAAAAAACTTTTATATAGATATGATTATTGCTAAAGAAGTAAAGAGATTTATTATAAGCATTAAAACTTGAGATGAATAGAAGAAGCAATTATTAATTACTTATTATTCTTGGAATTATCTTTAAGTATATACTTTTAAGCAGAAGTGCTTGAATATTATTAATAACTGTTTCATTACTAATATTATTAGCTTTTGATTATTTATTGTAAACTATAATAATGCTTTTACTCGTTTTAAGATCAGAGATAATTAATTTATAACAGAAGTATAGATAAAGCTCTTTTTAATCTAAATCAAGCACTTTTAAGCTAATTATGATATTACTGCTGAAAGTATTAGCAACAAGAAATAGCTTTATTTTATGAAAAAGCTGTTAAAGATTTATTATAAAGCATTCTAGAAGAAAACTCAAGATTAATTTGCTTTTAGTACTACTAATCTTCAATTTTATTAATAAGCTTAATTTCAAGATTTTTCTATATCTTTATCTTAGCTAGTTCTTAATCAGACTTAGCTTATTTCTATTCTACATTTGATATATAGTACTTTCAGTTAATTAATAAATCTATTAAGATAAGCAGTAGAGCTATTATATTATTAACTGCTTTAATAATTAATTCATAATTAGCAAGCTTA